GTCACCAAGTACAAACTTGATTGAACAATAATCACAAGACCATCACAAGACAATCTTATGACTTCGATGATAATAGCGAATTCATTGGTAATAGTCACGAGTTTCACTGGAAAATAACTTGGCCTCGCTTTCAGCGATCGGTTTAAGACGTGGCATGTTTCTCGAGTTCGTCCTCTTTGTCTTCAGACCTAACACACTCAGCGAGTTCAACCCTCCTCCTCCCTTCCTCCACCTCATTTATATTATGTATTTGTGATATAGGCACTTCTCCATTTTTCTCGTGCCCTCACCTTTGCAAGAGCTTAACAAATAATAATTCGTTATATTGTATTTCATATTAGTTTTAATCAATAAATCGGCCATTCTGCGTGGCCAAAATTTATCCCAACAACGACTTGTCTGGTTTCGATTTCTTTAAGCACTCTAGCAAGCAAAGCTCGACTGTTGACCCAGAAAATTTGACGTAGGTACAGCTTCATAGTTATAATTTCGGAAACAAGGGAAGAAGACATAAATGCATTTTCTGAAATATGCGAGTTTTAATTTGTGAAGCCCTTAGAAATTTATAGAAATATCTGTTCTTATCAAGGCAGTGAAAACATTCCAATCTATCAATGACTCAAGGAACATTTTCCACTCAATTTTGTTACCATTTTAAAATTAACACTGCAACTTATAAGAAAAAAAAATGATAGCTTAACTTAAATGCAATTTTCTTTTTATAAGGGTTTGATCCCAATATTAACTTAGCTATTGAATATCTCCTTTCAGCACCATGCCTTCGAAGAAGGCAAAATGGCGGAAGAAATACGACGAACAGAACAGACCTCAGGACGATGCTAAAGGTAAATGCTTGTAGAATAAGAAAGTAAAACCATTTCACTCTTCGGAGTATAATTTTAAACTAGCGATGATTATGAAATGAATATTAACAATATATGTCTTGGATTATGGCTAATTAAGAGTTTACTCAAAGCTGGAAAAAATATCAGTTAGTTGAGGTGCCGGTTGCAATAAATATGACTTGGTTCTGCTGCAAAATCGGCAAATTTGCATGGTTAGAGAGCGTTTGAGCATGGGTTAAATTTGTCAATGCCAAGAAGCAGTTTCTTACCTTTTATCTAGTAAAAATTGTTTACTAAACTAAAACTAAAATAGTTTTACCAGAGCTAAAAAGGAAGTTATCATACTAGGCCTTAACGACACTGAAAAGGGAAAACATAAATTTATACTTCAAAAGGTAGCCAGGGAACAGTTTCCAATACTTTTCAGCAGTTATCCTTCGACGGATCAATACTTCCACACTTTATTAAGCGATCGGTTGCAATATTGGTGTAACAAAAATACCCAGTCATGGTTAAACAAGTTGTGGCCATCCTCATGACATAACCAACAATACCACCTGATAAAAATCCAAAAACATTTCGGTGAAAACCTTTTTTTTTT